CTGGTACATCCACTGCGGTGGATCCGGAGGGAGGGGAGAGGGAAAGGTTGAGAACGTCAGGTACGGGATGGCTGCGTCACCAGCGGGGTCGGTGGTGAGCACCGGGCTGGATGATAGCCCCACGGGTAAGAGTGGTGTTCTGCTTGAGTGGGTGCGACACGGTGGGACTGCTGTTGCTGGTGGGGTCTTTCTCTGGGATGGCTGGGTCCCTACTGTGGTCATTCTCCAAGATGTTTGGGGGGGTCTTCATTATGGTTCTTCTCTGGGATCCTCAGGGTCCCCATCATGGTCCATCTCCAAGATGCCTGGGGTCCCCCATAGTAGTTTTTCTCCAAGATGCCCAAGGTCCTAAACATGGCCTTCTGGATGCCTTTGGTTCTCATCATGGTCCTTTTCCAAGATACTTGGGGGGTCCCTATCATGATCCTTCCCCAAGATGCCCAGGGTCCCCATCACAGTCCTCCAGGATGGCAGGGATCCACATCGTGGTCCATCGCCAAGACACCCAGAGTACCCATCATGGTTCTTCTCTGGGATTTTAGGGGTCCCCATCATGGTCCTTCTCCTGGGTGCCCAGGGGCCCCACTGTGGTCCTTCTCCAAGACACCTGGCATCCCCCTTGTGGTCTTCCAGGATGACTGGGGTCCCCATCGTGGTCATTCTCTGGAATGCCTGGGGGTCCTCAGCTTGATAGCTTCTCCAGGATGCTGACGGTCCCCATCATGGTCCTCCTCTGGGCTCAGAATGCCTGCAGTCCCCAGCCCCGACCCTCCTCTATGCCTTTGCTCCCCGGCCCCGCACAGCCCCTGTGCACGGCGTCGGGTGCCGGGCGGCGGTAAAATGGGGGTAATCTGGGCGATTGGTGTTTGAGCCGTGCTCATACGGTGCAATACAGACGCCTCATACATCATCAGGGATTACATAATTCTACGTATTTGCACTGTATTACATTATACCATAATAACACGTATCGTATGACATATTTTATTACTATTTCATACATAATACATTACAGAGTGGATGTATTATAGCAGATGTATACATCTGCATATATGTACACGGTACATGCATATTATATATATTATAGCATATATGAATTATATTTGGTACATATTATAATATGTATTAAATCATAATGTGTTGTACATTATTCTACATATGTTGTATTGTATTGTATCAGCATTAAATACTATATATTACATGCTACATGCTATACACTATTTAACATATATGTTACTACAGATTATAATAATTATGATATATATATTATATATTCTATGTTTGATCATACATTATACATAATCCATTATCCATTCTACATTCTATATTATATTCTATATGCTATATGTTATATATGTTATGTAATGCATGTTATGTGTTATGCTACATAGAATATATTGCAGATTATATTTCATTATAAACTCTATTGTCTACTCTATATTGATTCTCCATGGATGGGGAAACCCTCTGAGAAGGGGACATCTCCTCTAGGTGCTGAGCACCCATGGGTGCTGCGGAAAAGGCAGCGTGTGCGGTATTTGACCCTGCCGGGCCAGAGGTGAGACGGGTGGTGGGGGGTGCAGAGGGGACGCCAGCACGTACCTGCCTGGAGCTGCTCACCTGGAGGGACAAAGAGTGGGCATCAGCCCTGGTGGCGTTGGGCAGATGGGACCCAAGGCACCGGGGTCATGGCTCAGCCCCTGCCCAGACTGCTGCCATGCCCCTGCCCCAGCCCCTGGCTGGGCTCCCCGTGCCAGCACCCCCAAACCTGTTGCACCCAGGAGCCCAGCCAGTGCCAGAGCTGGAGGAACGGCCCGTCCGGGGGTCGCAGGGTCTGCACCAGGGTGCTCACCTGTGGGCAGAGGGGGCAGAGCCAGCGTGCGACCCAGCCTCTACTGGCACCCATCCCCTGCCGGCACCCACCCTTGGTAGGACCCTGCCGTGCTAGAATCCACCCTTGCTATCACCCTTCATTTCCAGCACCCCCCGTTTCTAGCACCCACCCTTGACAGCACCCATCCCCAGCCCACAGCAGCCTCCCAGCACCCCACCCCCTCGGCACCCCCAGACTCAGCACTGGGCAGGTCCCAACAACGGTGTCCATGGCCCTGGGTGCCACTGCAGTGGGGTGGGACCACCTGGGTGCAGGTGTCCTCAGTGCTGGCTCCCCCCTTTACCTGGGTGAGGTGGCTCATCTGCAAGGAGAAAACACGATGTCCAGAGAGCTGGGGACAGGGGGCCGTGCCCGACCCCACCTTGAGGACCTCTCTGTCCCCACATGTTTGTGGTGTCACGTGACTCTGCTGAAACCCAAGCCACAGCCTTGGGCACTGTGCCAGCTGCTCTGTCAGCTACCAATGGGGCCAGGCAGGTGGCCAAAAACACTGATGGGTGGTGACACGGCCGAGGAGGTGACAAGCCCGGTGCTGGCCACTGAGGCTGGACAACCCACCTGCTACAGTGCCCTGCGAGCTGATGAGCTGTGGCCGCTCGCCAACACCAAGCCCACGGTGGCCACCGCGGCACTGGGCCACTGCAACAGTAAGACCTCTCCAAGGAGCACCCCAGGACCCTCTGGTGACAGTGGCTTTGGCCAAGTATCGTCCCACAGGTGCCACCCCCAGCTGCTGTGGGTGGATGCAGCCTTGCAGGTCCCCTGCGTCAGTGGGGATGGATGTCCCTTAGAAAATGGGTTGGTAGTGGCATTTTGGCAGCCCCGGGAGGGGACCAGGGAAGGGCTCTGTGTCTTGTCCCAACGGGTATGGCATCCTTGTGGTGTTGCAGCCATCCCTGCGGGTCTGGCATCCTTGTGGGGATGCCACTGTGCCCACTGATCCGACATCCATGCAGGGATGCAGCTGTCCCCAGAGCCAGCGTGCTCATGCGGATGTGACTGTCCCCACCAAGTCAGCATCCTCACAGGGATGCCACCATCCCCACGTAACCAGAATCTTCACAGAGATGCCACCAGCTTGGCGAGTCACCCCGGGCTTTCCTTCCCCAGCTGGTGGATGCAGTGTGGTGATGGCATTCGAGGAGGTCTGCCCGGAGTGCATCCACGTCATCCACAAGCTCTGCAACCTGCTCATTGATGTGGAGGAGTGGGGGCAGGTGGTCATCATCAACATGCTGACCATGCACCCAGTTCCTCAGCCCCAAGTAGAATGTGAGTGTGGGTGCCTTGGGAGCCCTAGTTTGGGCTAGGGGGTGGGGTGAAGAAGGGTGCTGCTGGAGCTGCAAGGTGTCCCACCTGCCGTTAGGTGGCCTTACTGGAGACGAGCACCAAGAAGCCTTTCTACAGCTCCGAGGAGAGGATGCCAAGGTGGCAGCAGACTCGTTGACCAAGCGCCTACATCACGGACCCAGTCCACCGCCTGCTCCTGCGCAACACCAAGACCGTGCTGCAGAGCCGCAATGCCGCGGTGAGCCCCCTGCCCCAGCCCTGTCCATCCCTGGAGGCCACCGGCGGTGTCCATCAGCCTGGGCTCGTGATGTCCCCACGGGCCAAGGAGCCACCAGGGTGCCCAGGATGGGCATCCCCAGGGATGGGCTTCCTCTGGGTGCTGCCGGGGGGATCCTGGGGGACACAGCCATCCCTTGGGGTGTCCCCACACCCACCAGATGATGCTTGAGTGTGTCCTCACAGGTGGTGATGGCTGTGGCGCAGGTCCACTTCCACGCGGCACCCAAGGCTCCTAGTAGGGCCTGTGACCCCGTGGAGAGGACTTCATGCTGGAGCAGTTTGTGATGAACTGCAGCCTGTGGGAGGGAACCACACTGCAGCTGTTAATGGAGGATTGTCTCCCGTGGGTGGGACCCAAGGCTGGAGTAGGGGAAGAGCGTGAGGAGGAAAAAGCAGCAGAGACAACATGCAATGAACTGACCACAACCCCCATTCCCCGTCCCCCTGCACTGCTCAGGGGGAGCAGGTGGAGTAATTGGGGTGAAGTTGAGCCCAGAAAGAAGGGAGGGGTGGGGGGAAGGTGTTCTAAGATTTGCTCTTATTTCTCATTATCCTACTCTGATTTGATTGGCAATAAATGAAATTAATTTCCCTGAGTTGGGTCTGGTTTGCCCGTGACAGCAATTGCTGAGTGACCTCCCTGTCCTTATCTCAACTCACAACCTTTTCATCAGTTTCCTCCTCTCTCCTTGTCCAGCTGAGGAGGGGCAATGACAGAGGGGCTGGGTGGGTACCTGGCAGCAGGCCAAGGTCAACCCACCACAACTCTGTTCTGGTGCATGTTGTCAGATAGGTGACATATTTATGATGCGTTCTGTAGTGTATTCTATTAGTCATCCTTATTGTAGTTATTTCTGTTGTTATAGTGCTCCTTTACAAGTAATTATTGATATTGGCAGATATTTCAGTGATTGTTGTTTTTCTTTGCAGCTTGCAAGCTCCGAGATGGTGGTTACCAGTCAGGTAGCTCTCGCCCCGTCACACAGCAATGAGGCATAGAGGGAAAACGGGCACATATCAAGCAGAAAAATTTAATAAAGATGCTAAGTAATGGATAGCATTTACGCTCCAGCAAGTGGAAGGACCCATCCCCCCAAAACAGGTCCTGCTCTGGGGCAAGGCGTCGGGGTACGCGGGTCAGCACCAAGGCTCCTCTGTGGGTCAGGGGGGATTGTCCGTGGGGGGAGGCAGCGACCGCCACCGCTCATATCACATCGCGTTACTGCAATGCCGAGGGGAGGGGATGGGCTGCAGGTGGCCTGGAAAGGAAGGGGACAGTCCCCCGACCCCCTACCCTTCCCTTCCCTCCCTGTGTGGCTGGGCCTCCCACCAGTGCTGGCAGACAGAGCCCAGGACCCCAGCCCTGTCTGGGGACTCCAGCTTTCCCAAAGACCCCAAGCCGCCCAAGGATCCTAGACTGTTCTGGGGACCCCAGCCCTCCTGGGGAACCCAGCCCTCCCTGGACCCCACAGCCCTCTTAGAGCACCCCAGCCCTCCTGGGGACCCCACAGACCTCATGGGAACCGCAACCCTCCTGGGGATACCTCCCTCCCAGGGATCCCACAGCCCTCTTGGGGACCCCACAGTCCTCCCAGGACCCCACAGAACCCCCAGAGGAACCCATCCCTCTTTGGGCACCCCAGCCCTAGGGTGACTCAGCCCTCCCTTGCATCCCAGAGCCCCCATGGGGACCTAGCCATCCTGAGCACTCCAGCCCTCCTGGTGACCCCACAGCCCTCCAGTTACCCCAGCCCGCTTGGTGAACTGAGACCCCCTGAAGACCCCAGCCTTCCTAAGGACCCCAGTCCTCTTGGGCACCCCAACTTTCATAAAGATCCCAGCCCTCTTGGGGACCTTGCCTCCCTCCTAGGGACCCCACCCCTGCGGGAGACACCAGCCCTTTTTGCGGACCCCACAACCATACCAGGGATCCCACAGCCCTGCTGGGGAGGGCTGATGCTGGGGATACTCACAGCCGCACAGGCAACTGCATTTTCCATTTGGCTCTGCAAGGGAAAGTTGTCCATACATGGGGGTCTTGGCTGTCCCCACTGCTGTCCCCACTGCCCATGGGCCAGCCCCAGGGGAATGGGGTCAGGATGCAAATGCAGGGCTGGCTGTGGGTGCAGGAGCCATCCCACCACAGCCGTGATACCCACCTCTATGATCACCAGTTCTTTGTAGAAGTCCACCAGGCCCAGAAGGTGGAGGGCAAAGTGGATGCAGTTGTTCTTACGGAGGTTATACTTGGCTTTGCTGTTCATCGCCTCTCTGACTTTGTTATTGAAGTCCTTGAGGTCAATCTGGTCTTTTTTCCGGTAAACCCAGCATTTCCTCCTCTTCTCTTTCATGGCTTCAAAACCTTCCTTGCTGATGCGACCATCGCCGTTCTTACTGTCTGTATCTGGCAAACCGAGATTCGCCCATTGCCCTGGTGCAGCCGCTCTTCAGCCACTGTCATGTCCCAAAGGTGAGCAGGGGTTCGGGTGCTTACTCTGGAAGTGTATGACCTCTCCGTCCTTGCAGTAGACAGCCGCGTGTTTGAAACTGCTGCTGGCACCAGAGCGGCTGTCCATGGGGAAGAGCACGATGTCCCCAGGCTGCAATTCGCGGTCCGACACCTTCATGAAGACCTCCCCAAACCGATCAGCAGTATTGAACAGCAGAAACTCGAGCGTCTCCATCTCCCTTTCCTAACCGTGCCAGGGAGGGAATGTGAGGAGGCAGCAGAACCAGCCCCATCACCCCCCAACACGCCCCAAGCCCCCACGCTGCCAGGGGAGGTCTCACCAACCTCCTACTTACACAGCTGCTTGATGCCTGCAAGGAGAGAGGAACAGAAATGTGGTGTCAGCGCTGTGCTCATGCCGTGCTGCCCACGCGTGGAGAACAGGGTCCCACCCTGCCCTCACACCCTGCCTGTGATGGCTCCTGTCAAGCCCAAGGGCTTGGCTCCAGCAAAAGTCACCTGTCCTTCCCAACTTCTTTGAGCTGGAGATGTCTCAGCACAAGCCCCCTTCATTGCTCCACCCCTGCCCCGGGTGATGATGTTGGGGGCAGCTGCCCACGAAGGGGTGTGAAGGTGGGAGCGTCCTTACCGATCCCATTATCAGTGATGTCCCTGGGACAGAGCTGGGCTGCTGGCACCCCCACCAAGGGCTGTGGGAAATGTAGCTGCGATGGCTCCTGCCTGGGCAAAATGTGACCTCACATCCTTCCTGATGCACATGAGAGGCAGTGAAAGGCTGAGAGCAAATCCAAAAGCAGCACAAAGTCCAGGAAAACCCCAGATTGACTTTTGCACCTCTTAAAGCTGCGGTTAATTTGCTATGTGCAGCTGAAATGTTACTTTTGGGAACTGAGGGAGGTGAGGAGGGAGATCCCGGAAATGCTCGAGGCAGAGGAGCTGCAGGACATCTCCAAATGTTTGTGTCATGCTGCGACCTCCCACCCGCCTCCAAGACACCTTCCTACAGCCCAGGTTCACCACCCGTGACCGGCCTCCGAGCAGACCTTTGGCCAGTTTTAAACCATCAGCCCAGGGAGCATTTATTTTCACGGTTGAAATTTGTTACCGCCAATGAAAGAGGAATGTATTTATTTCAGGACACCTCAGGAAGCAAAGAGTGGTGGTGACTATGCTTGAGGAAGGCAGGCGAGTGGGGGCAGGGCTGCACCTTGGGTTGGGCATCGATTACTGGTGGTTTCCGGGAAAGAAGCTTCTGGTAAAATGAAAGTGAAAACAACACAAATCAAACAGGCTTGGGACAGGCTCTTGGTGCAATTGTTAACTGTTTATTGCCACAGAAGAGCATTGCCAAAGGTCTCAGCACGATACTGATCCCCTGGCGAAGGATGACCCAGCCCTGCGCGTCCCCCAAGCACGTCACCGCCTCCATCACTGCAGCGCTGGGGACACCTGGGAGAGAAGCTGGGCTGTGGTGACGCTCTGCCACAGCTGGTGTCTCGGTGCCCCGGAGTGGTGGCAGCTGCTATGGCGGTGGCACCCACCATGGCACCGGCAAAGTGGCCCAGGCCCAGCAGGGAGAGGGCGAAGTGGATGCAGTTGCAGGTGACGGCGTCGTACTCCATCGCCTGGTCCATGGCCACCCGGATGCGGCGCTGCAGGGCGGCTGCGTCCAGCCCTCCCTTCCTGCGCAGCACCTTGGCCGGGCCCCGCGTCCGCAGGAGGTGGCTCTTGCCGTGCTTGGCCACGATCCCTGATGGGGACGTCCCTGAGCTGCCTGCGGGGCAGAGGGGACGCTATACCCGGTCTCCCTTCCACGGGGACACCCCCGCACCGTAACCACCTCCTGGGCCTCACCTTCCAGGTGGATGATCTCCCCGTCACCGCAGTAGATGCCGGCGTGGGTGCCCCACCAGCCGGGACCGCCTGAGGCCAGCGGGAAGAGGAAGAGATCGCCAGGCTGGGGCTCAGCCGCCCCATTGGGGACCACGTCGAAGTGCTGTCCCAGCAGCCCCTCGCAGAGGAAGAACGCCGCCGTGCTCGCTGCCCCGGCCACCGCCTGGGGACCCATCAGTGTTTTAGGGCCAGCGGTGCCCCGGGAACACCGGCAGCATCACTGACCCGCTGGCTCATGCCCCATGCCCGGTGGCTTGGACACACTTTGATTCTCCATGGATGGGGAAACCCTCTGAGAAGGGGACATCTCCTCTAGGTGCTGAGCACCCATGGGTGCTGCGGAAAAGGCAGCGTGTGCGGTATTTGACCCTGCCGGGCCAGGGGTGAGACGGGTGGTGGGGGGTGCAGAGGGGACGCCAGCACGTACCTGCCTGGAGCTGCTCACCTGGAGGGACAAAGAGCGGGCATCAGCCCTGGTGGCGTTGGGCAGATGGGACCCAAGGCACCGGGGTCATGGCTCAGCCCCTGCCCAGACTGCTGCCATGCCCCTGCCCCAGCCCCTGGCTGGGCTCCCCGTGTCAGCACCCCCAAACCTGTTGCACCCAGGAGCCCAGCCAGTGCCAGAGCTGGAGGAACGGCCCGTCCGGGGGTCGCAGGGTCTGCACCAGGGT